GAAGAAAATTAACTCTATCCCAGCCAAAACCAGGACATTTAGTAACTTCAAAACTTGTAGGTAGGCATTGTTATTATTTCTTGCTATATTTCCCAGCTTGACGATGTATTAAGTGAGGTCTAATAGATCCCTTAAAATAAAGAAGACCCTTGCTAGAGTAGGAATACCTGGCACTTCCAGAAATAGCCCATCTCGTGGTAGGACAGGTGGCATGAATGTTACCCAAGGTTGCCTGTTTTTCCTATTGGCTTTGTAATGTTACTGACTTGCATACAGGTCTCTAAAAAATACCTAAATATAAATAAGTCCCACTTATATACCACACCCAAACATACAATCCTGTTTAAATTGATGGGACTTCTACAGTTCAGATATTGATCTGTATTTTCATGGACCTAATGATCTTTGAAAAATCTGAATTTAGTGTGATTCAGCTGGCAGATTAAGGCTCGTACTTTGTGGGTGTTTATTTGTGAGGCACACGCCTAACCTCTCTGCAACCAGCAGGGATTTAGTCAGAGCAGCCAATGGAGTCTGAAGAAAGAGTTCAGCTAATAAAATGGCATTTCAACTTTAGGGTATGTGAAATCACCCTTTAAGACTTAATTGACTGTATTAATTAGATCTCTGTTGACTACAGTGGCATCTTAGACACCCATTAGGCCTCTGCATATGTACAGTATGGATACCTACAACATAAGGACCTGCGTTTAAGTGTCTTTAGTCTTCAGTTACTTCCTACCCCATCACTTGACTTCATGTATTCTGCTTTATAAAGAAAATCCCTCATTTACACCTTTCTATACTTGTCTATGCATATGTTGTCGCCCGAGATTAAAATGTGTCATCTATCACATGTTCTCCTGAGTTTTAAAAACTCCCTGGGCCAAGGAACATCTTTTTACAAATAATGAGTGGTCCTGAAGCACTGTGGGTTCTCAGCCAGCTGTCTTCTCACTTTTGACAACCTCAAGAAAAGAAGGGCAGGGCAGTAGTGACACTGAACAAGTATCAGAAAAAAGAAGTGTTTTGCTACTTTCTTAAGTCTTAGAGAGTATTTAGTGGCATCTTAGTTAATTTATTAGTTTAGCTAATTCAATTTCCTTTACTTTCTAGGAATGATTTTGAAGAGTATTTTGACATTGTGATTACAAATGCTTTGAAACCTGGTTTCTTCTCCCACACCCCAAACCAAAGACCTTTTCGAACTCTTGGTAAGTTGCAGTTGTGTCTCCCTTCTCATCTGCTTACTTCTATCAAAAACAAACAACAACAACAAAAAAACCACCAAAAAAAAAAAAAGGGAGAGGACTGGACAACATATTTTGAAAATCTAGCATTGGGGGAAAAATGGACTCTACACAAGACTCTTCCAGACATATAGAGATATTAGTAAAAAGTTCTGTTAAGACTGAGAAGCACTGAGAAATTAGGAATTACAGTGCTGAGGACAATGAAAAGGCAGAGCTGCAACAGTAATTAAAACTGGTATTGAGGTTCAGATATTGCATCATTAATGAAAAAGTAAGAATCCTTTTCTTTATTGTGCTGACAAGGTCATACACAGAAAATGAAATTTAATTCTGGGAAAAAAACATAGCAGAAATATTTCAGTAATTTAAAGGAAATTCAAAGAACAGTACAAATAAAATTTCAAGGCTGAAGGAAATTATTTATGATGGAAATCTGACAGTATTAAATGTGTGTACTTTGGCTAAATAATGACAGAGTAGGTGAAAAGGAAGTGCCCATGTACTCAATTTAATTAAAACAATCTGAAACGTTTGGCAATGTTGTCCATTAAGCAATTAAGTTTGTAACAAAAGAGGTTTATAAGAACAGTGTTCATTGAACTACAAATAACAATAGTAACATGGCTGAAGACAGTTAATTTTTCCATATTTTGGTAAACACCCTTATAATTAAGTGCTACCTGAAAATTAATCTTATATCCAAAATAGCGTAAGTCAGCATATACTGAACTGTATTTTAGCATTTTATGACAGGAAAGTCAGCTGTTCAAGCCCAAAAGAAATTTTGCCTGTGGAACTTTTACTGTAAAACTAAAATGAGCAGCGGAAATATATATTGAAACTGCATTTTAATGTTTCACCAATTTATGTAGGAAAATAGTCAGAAATATCTTAAATGTGATGTTTAAAGGATTAGTTCAAATAGGAAACTGCCAAGTTGACAATCTAAGAAAAAATAAGCTCAGAAGGGAAATTGAGACTGTTTACCTGAAGGGGGGGGCAAAAACATAAAGGATAAAAAAGGCTCACTTTTGCAAGCATTTCATTTAGTTTCATATAATGCAAATTGAAAATAAAATGTAATTCACTTTGGATATTTTTTTAAACAATCAGTTTAGCGTGGCTTCCTAGGGAAATCCTGCTGTGTCCCTCTGTCAGTAATCCAGCCAGCAACTTTTGAACCTGTTGGCCAGTTTCAGTAAATTTAATAGACAGCCAGAAAGTTCCAATATATATTTCAATAAGTTTTTTTGTGCAAACCAGGACAGAACAGAGGGAAAAGACGTGAAATTACTGTCTCCATTGAGAAATATTGTGTAGCATTATCTGAATCACGTTATTAGATTGCAAGTACCAATTTTCATGAAGCTGTTTCTTTCTCATGCATTCAAACAGGAACAGCATTCCCTGGAGTCCTCTTACTGACTTACTGGTTTTCATTCACTTTGTATTTTGGCATTGCAAAGAGGCTCAAGTGAGGGTTGATCACTAATTACATGAATACCTTATTAATACAGAATAAAATGTAGGTTACGTTCTGGAGACCTCACTATCTAAATAGATAAACACAAAATAAAAAAATAAATAGACACAAACGTAACTAAAGCAATCATCAGGTAAATAATTTGCTGAAACTACTAACCTGTGACTGGATTTTTTTTAATATATTTATATTTGATTGACAGTAACTGGTTTCTTCTGAAAGACCAACCAGAACATTCAAAGCGAAGAATTATACATATAGGACAGGTTTTTAGAAACATGTTTTGAAGCAGTGAAGAGCTTGTTTAAGAATATGTGAAGTTTAAACCATGAAAATAGGAGGAATTATATGAGAATGTCTGAAATAATAATATTTTTTTATAATGTATCTTTTGCTGCCCTGCCTCTGTGTTCCTCACAGCAAATGTATAGCTTCAGGGTGGACACTGATAGTTTCACCCAGTCACTGCAGATAACAAGGAACACAGTTCATTTCTGAAACAGCATACAGTGGAACTTCTAATACATTTGGCAGGGGGCACAGTTTTCCAGTTTCCAGATTTTTTTTAAGACTTTCTTTCATATCAGAACCACTGAAAATTCAAAATTTCAGTTTCTAGTCTCTATATTCCTTTTGCCACTATGGATTTATTATTCCTGTATCAGGAATAGTGTGGCCAGCAGGAGCAGGGAGGTGATCGTCCCCCTGTACTCGGCGCTGGTGAGGCCGCACCTGGAATACTGTGTCCAGTTTTGGGCCCCTCAATACAAGAAAGGCATTGAGGTGCTGGAGCGTGTTCAGAAAAGGGCAACGAAGCTGGTGAAGGGTCTGGAGCACAGGCCTTATGAGGAGCGGCTGAGGGAACTGGGGTTGTTTAGTCTGGAGAAGAGGAGGCTGAGGGGAGATCTTCTCGCTCTCTACAACTACCTGAAAGGAGGTTGTCGGGAGGTGGGTGTTGGTCTCTTCTCTCATGTAGTTAGCGATAGGACGAGAGGAAATGGGCTTAAGCTGCGCCAGGGGAGGTTTAGGTTTGAAATTAGGAAAAATTTCTTCACGGAAAGAGTGGTCAAGCATTGGAACAGACTGCCCAGAGAGGTGTTGGAGTCCCCATCCCTTGAAGTGTTCAAAAAACGGGTAGATGTGGCACTTCGGGACATGGTTTAGTCTAGTCTACCCTTGATTGGTTTAGTGTGGACTTGGTAGTGTAGGTTAATGGTTGGACTGGATGATCTTAAAGGTCTTTTCCAACCTAAATGATTCTATGATTCTATGATTTCAGGCAGAAGAAGAGTTTAGCCACTGTGATTCATAACCTCTCTTCTCTGAGAGCACTGGACATAATATATCAGGGAGACAAAATTTCCTTATTTTTGCTTTGAAATAGGAAAAAAACTAGAGGTGGACATCATAGTAAATATTTTCTTAAAGCACAAAGAGTAAACTTTTGTTAGTGTAATTTAGAGGAAAAAGTTCCAGTAAGTGAAACAAAGCTTGTTCCGTAAAGCAATTTGTTGCAGAAAATGAACTGAAATAACTGCTTATCAATCCTATCCATTTCTCCAGGGCTGAGTTTCAGCCGTGCTCTTCCATCCATCAGTGGGCCTGAATTACAATAAATTCCTAATAATACCATATTCCCTTCTATTCCAAGGGAATTGTGTTATAAATGGACTTATGGCACAAAATATGGAATGTGTTCTTAATTTCAAACATCCCAAGTGTTGCATTGTGTACTGGAGCTAAATTTTGTTTGTATATAACAGGATTTTTGCTGCAGATTTACTAAGAGAAAGGTTTTGAAGTTTACTACAGAGAAGGATAAATTCTTCTCGGTGAATAATTTCAAAAAGGCAACTGTATTCAGTAAACATTTGAAGGAGGACGAGAAACAGGACAAGATGACAAAGGTGGCATTGTCTAGAAATGTGATATCGGATAACTGCTCTGCAGAGATGTTTCTTCAGTAGACAAGTAATTTTAGAACTAATCCATTTAGAAACCATGAAGAATTACTTTGATTGTGCAGTTAAAAATGCATCACTACTTTGAGCTTCAAGACATGCATCATTTAAAGCAACCACAACACTGTTTGAAATCTTAAAAGATTTGTGTGATTGCTTTTTATTGAACTGGGGCACTGAAAAGCACAATAATTAATTATTTAATTTGCATAATTTTCTTTCAAGGTACCGTTATGTTAAGTGGAAGAACAGTTTATATGTAACTTTCCAGGTTTTAGAACAGCCACATTTATTTTTATCTGGCAAAACAGTTTTTATCATTAGGGGTAGCTTATGTAGCAAAGCACATAGTTTATGAGAACAGTGCTATACAAAAAAAACTTTACTCCCACGATACGAATACCCCATAATTTACTTGTTATTCACAAGGTTACATTTTCTTTTACACAGGGAAATTCTTTAAATGGTTCCTGAAAGTACTAATAGTTTCTTGAGCTATTCAATCTAAGGATCAGGTCAAAAATGTTTGTGTAAATCCTGTGTTGAGAATGTAGGATTTTCTTTGCTTTCAGCAGCTACATCCAGCTTAAAATAATGTATCATTCCATGAAGGACTTAAAGGAATATGAATAGCAAATACAGTTGTGACTTATCTGATAATCTGCAGCATACCAAGATTTCTGTAACATTTGACAACAGATCTTTCCCTTTATCACATCACTCATTAATGTATGTCAAATTACTAGCCTGACTGCCAGTTCTAATCATTGTATTTTTTAGAATGTAAAATTAAAACAGAAATGCTAAAGATAACCCTAAATTCCCTGAAAGCCTTCTATAAGTCTGTACGAACAGGGAATTCTCACTTGGTCCTAAATAAGACTCTTATATGTTTTATTTCCATCTCAGGAACAGTTACTGTCTTTTTTGATAAACTGAAAATGTGTTGCTGATTGTTCGGTGTCTGAATGCACAATGCATATTTAATAGTGTATGTAAATCTTCATATATATGCATACTTATATATACAGGCCAAAACCAATCCTATATAAGGAGTGGCAGTGGATGCCATATTTCTGTGAGATCGTGTGCCCTTATCCAGTGCCCAGAGAAACAAACCTGCTCTCCTTCTCCTGCAGAGAGCGTCAGGTTTTCAAAGCCCACTTTCAATTGCACTTCCAGGCTGTCTGCCTTATTTCTGCACTTGAATTTCTGTCCAGCTTATGGTGCCTCTGCTACATCACGTAGCCCCCAGTTCAGGAAACTCTTTCAGTCCTCCAATTTTTCACAATTCTCTGGTAACTGCCATTTCAACAACTCACTGCAGAAGCTTTTTTCCTCCTTCAGTCATTCTTCTCTAGCCTTCTAAAAATACAGGGAAATGCTATAAACTGAAAGGATCAATTAGAAAAGAAAATAAGGGGGCAGGACATAAAATGACATATTTCTAGGCTGAAGACTGTCTTTGATTATTAGGGGCTGCAAGACTTAAGAAGGAGGAGATGATCCCATGTCTG